CCTTCTTATGTGTTTAATTTTCTTAATTACAAGCAACTTTTTCTTTTAGTCTATGAGCCTTTCATGTAGTTCTAATCTGTTTGTATGTTTGATCTCGGCTTGATCCTTTCAGTCTGCAGAAATTATTAATGTGGCCTGTGATTTTCTTCACTCGCTCCTTTTTTAAAGTATCCTTTTCTGTAGTTCTGTTTTATTAGCGAATTACATCCCGAAATAACTGCAGTACGAACTCGCCCCACGTGTGAGGTAATTGAGCTGTATATGTTCATGCTGCATCTTGACGTGTCAGATAATCGCCGCTAGAGGGCAGTGAATAATATCTCTTTACTGAGGAGTCCGTGTTTCATGTTTGACTTGGTTTTTGACAGAGGAAATATTAGGAGGTATATTTGTCTGTTTTTGACCAGCCATGATGTCAGGCACGAGTACTAAACACTGTCCCCCCTGTGACCCCGTAGTTGATCATTAATATGTTTATCATTATAAGACAGTTTAAATGTCAGTTTCTTTTAATCTGTTTCTTTTTTTTCCTGTCTCCTCCAGGTGGTTCATATTAAATTATTGGTTTAATTTTATTTTGGATTTCCAGCAGAATCATTAAAATATATTTGGAAAAAAACAGAAAGTAAAAATACTGCTTACCTATTTTTAATAAAGCCACCATTTTGACGTATGCAGGCCCCTATGTGTTGTTGTAAAGCCACCATTTTGACGTATGCAGGCATTCGTATGTGTTGTTAATCAATCAGTAAAACCTGTGTGGATGAAATATGATCCATTTATATCCAAAGACACTGTGGGATTTCATGTGACTGAAATATTCCACGGTGACGTCCTTGTGTTCTCAGAGCCACGTCTTTAATCTTCGACTGGACCAGGTCTTTCAACTGTCATGATATATTATATTTGCTCAAAATCACAGTTGGTATTTTCATCATAAAAATGAACAGAATAATTATTTCTGCCCGGCAAACAGAGTCCCATACTCTATTTCTTGACTGGCAATAAGCTCTCTCCAGAGCCGAGAGAATGGGGGAGAAATAAAGGAGGATGTCTGGGTAACTTCAATAGCCTCTCTGTGTCCATCTAATATGGAGGGCTAGCATGCTGGGAGTTGGCCCTCTCCATTCAGACAGACCCCAAACTCATAAAGACCTCTTCTATGGCCCCCAACCTGAAACCCACCCACCAAAGCCCTAGCTGATATAGGCCCCTTCCATGGGAACTCGCAATCTGCAACGTAATCCCACTTTGGCCCCTAGAGAAGCCTTTCCAAACAAACCATGTGAGTCCTAATACCCAGGGCTTCACAAGTGGCTCCTGGCTAGACCCGAGCTCCACCACCACCAACTTGGCCCTCCTTCTGCCTTTTTTCTCATACTCTCACTTTTCTTCTTTGCACAGGCAGACGACAAAAGAAAAGGATCTCCTTCTAATTGCTTAGAAGATTGAAAAGCTGAGAGGGGTGGTGGGCGGCGACGGGGGAAATGAGACGAAGGCTCTGGAGGCAGCAGGGGACTGTCACTCTGGCTTTGCCCGCCTCGGGTGTGCCGCAGCTGGGATAAAGGAGCTGGCAGGACAGCCTCTTGATGCAGAGCTGAGACGAGTGGATCAGAGTGAGGGGCGGGTGACTCCCAGGGCCCAGCTTTACAACTCTGGCCAAATGAAGGACTATGAAAATGTGGAGGAGCAGAAACAGCCCTGCTGGAGTCCTCCTTCACACATGGGAAACGATGTCTGGTCTTCACAACTGGGATTGAAAAAGCCCAAAGGCTGCGGAGAGGAGTGAGCCCGAGCCAAGAGGGAGGGTCTCACAGAGAAAGGGCAGAAACACAGCGCACTGGTCATCGTCCAATCCCTGCGCCCCGTGTGAAGAGTCCATCCACTGTTAATCACATGGTGGTTGAGGATGGAGTGTGTGAACACACAGTTGGGGTGGTCCGTGACCTTTGGATTTGTTGCTATGATACACAGAGCTGCTTAATAACACGCTCTCCCTCTCTCAGACACACACCTTGACCTCTGCAGACACAATTCCACGCCTCGCTCTCATTTTGCCATAATCCGGCATCGAATCCTTTCAAGCTCTCAGTGCAGTTTTTGTCCGTGCTTGTAACAAACTCGTGGAACCACAGAGAGAGAGAAAATGAGAATCTGACAGAAATTAATTGCTTTAACGCCAGCCAAAAACAGATGTGGAACACGGTCCACCAATCATCCTTGAAATACAAAATACATTATCTGCACACAACAACATGAAAGAAAACATAAGCCGTCCTCGCTGAGGTCAGACGGTGAAGACAGAAGGCTGTGTTCTCCTCCGTGTGTACGTAGAGACACAGGATCCAGAGGGTTTTGGCCTCACCGGCTCCAGAAGGTTCCCTCAGCCCCCTCCATGACCTCCTTTCATCCCTCCATCCCTCCGCCTTTCTTCTTTTTTAATACAAATCAGCCATTCAAAGCCATGCACATGTTTTAGTGTTATTTGAACTCTGGCAAAGGACTTCAAACAACTTTCAAAGTGAACAGATTTTTTTCCTCACTTGCTTTATAACTCTTTCTCTTTTTAAAAGAACACAGCTGCCCTCCAAGTACACCTGATCAGAAGGTCACAAGATGGGGATTGTGATATGCAAATGAAGCTTGTTTTTTTAAATCAACACTGACATTTGTTAAAATGGAAAGTCAGGTGTTGATTGATCATGTATCAGAACAGCAGAGGTAATGTCTGGATACTGACAAGTTACTGTCATTTGTACTTTGGAGGCAGGAAGACGACCAGGCAGAGGCAAAATTCATGCTTTTAGATAGAAAACTGGGGAACAGAAGAAAATCCCATGTGTACCACTAGAGGGAGCCCAACCACCGGTTACACTTCCAAGTTCTAGGTTTTATATTGATTATTTCCCAAGTACTCCATGAATGACTTTGTTGTCATTCTGTTCTATTTACATACAAAACAATATCTCTTCATAATATGTTTTAATAGTGGTTTAATGCTTTAACATGTGAGTATGGATACTCACTTTAGCCAGAGGGGGAGCTCTTCTCCATTCTGAAATTTTGTGGATCGTTAGGATACTGTTTTTTTTTTGTTTGTTTTTTTCTGTGCCTTCACGCAGCGCCATTTTGCAACCGTAACAGAACCGTATTACAATTTCCTTCCGCTTTTAAAGGGCACGGATGGGCCTCGTTATCCAATCACAAGCGTCCTGCACCACACCACATCAGGTGCAGGCTCATTAGTTTGTCAATGAGTAGGTACACACGATCACTGCACGCTATTGTCAGTGCAGCTAAAGGAAAATTCTAGCAACTCTTATACTGAATTATGCTGCTAATACTGAGCGGATCAAATGTGTGCAAATGTTACAAATAATTTGACCAACAAACACTACAGGAAGCAGCAACTGATTGCTTCTATCTGTGACACAAAGGACACACTTTAGTTTTGGACTGACATCTGTTGTCTGCAGCTTCTTTGGTCTTATTGTCGTTTTATGTTTGGTTTTAATAATTCGTGGTTGGAGTCAAATCTGAAAATAGATTTGAGAATCCTTGTTTGTGTATTTATTCTTTTAGAGACTGTTCTAGCTCCATATAAAACCATACAAAGATCCCAAATGCGGGGATCCGACGTGAACTATTATATTCGCAGTAACTTATTTTGACCGGTAGATGGCGGCCTGTGAGCAGGGATACAGATGGAGGCGCTGTCAGACTACCTGGTGGACCAGATCCAGGAGGAGGCTGAGTCTGGAGCTCGGGGTTTCAGGAAAGTGGATTAGAAATGTGATGAATAGACGGGTTTCTGTTTTAATCCAGTGTGTGAGGTTTCAGGCCAGGCCTGTGTGGAGCCGCGGCCTGGACCCCGTAGCCGTTGTTTTAAGGGTAGACGTTGGGGTTTTGATTCATTCTGTCTGTCTCACGCATCCATGACGCATGACACACTCTGCTGCTGCAACACTATAAAATATCCATCAGCTGATCAGCGGAGAGGAGACGCTTCCTCTTTGAGCACAGCGGCCGTCTGAACGTGCAGGGAGGAGGTGTGGCGTTAACCATCACCGCTTCACCACAACAACACACGCCCAGATCTCGTGTGTTCGTGGCGTCAACGACTCGGTGAGACGTGATTCTCTGCGGCGGACTCTGGGCTGGAGACACCACAGGGCCACGGTGGACAGGATCCAGACGGGAGTCCTCGTCCCGTTACGCAGATCCTCAGCTCGGATGTTGAGCCTGGGAACAGCAGTGGCCTCCATCAGATGAGGATGCGGCATCCGCGGTGAGATAAAGGTGCGTCTCGTCTTCTTCCCTCTGTGGTTGTGTTTGTCTTCCACCATCAGCTGTTCGATCGAATCCCTGGTCCGTTCACACCAGCAGACGTGCAGAGGACAAAGGGCGGATGGAGAACGTTCAAGAACAAAGCCTCAACATAAACTGACATATACTGTATATGTGTGTGTGTGTGTGTGTGTGATGACGTGGTCGTCAGGTAGTGTCTGAAACAGAAAGGTCTTTATTTCCAGGTAGACATCAGTGAAGAACCTCTACAGGTTCTCTCCTCTTCCTGGTTCTCCTTTTTGTCCTGGTACCTTCATTGTCACCCAGCTCCTTCACTCTGACCTGAACTGAACTCTGGGTATTGTCTGTATATTTGTCAGACAGATAGTATGTGTGGATACTTGGTCAAATAATCTGTAAAAACACTTGAAAATACACAACAGGTGAAGGGGTGAGTTTTTTTTTTTGCCTCACCCTAGAGTACTTTGTACTATTTGAACGACCCACTGGGTTCTTCAGATGTTCTGCTTTCATATAAGTATGACAATGTTCTTGTCCTGTTAGAACCACACACACACACACACACACAGGTGTCTGTCAGTACAGTGTTCACGTTGCTGTTGAAGTTCCTCTTAGATCTAATGGTTCCCTCTCAGTCCTCTGGAGAACGGTTCTGTTCATGCTGATACAAAGTCATTTCCAGACTTGACTTTTGTTTTTGTTTGGGGTCTGGATCCTGTTTAATTTGCCGGAAACTTCTCTGTGTGAAGTTCATTCACAACAGCAGGAGAATCTCTGGGGGGTTCAGGTGAGGGGCTGTGTGGGAAGTAGGACGCTCAGCCAGTGTCAGTGGATCGTCTGGTGTTTCCTCTGCCGTGACCTCAGGAGTTTATTTAAACATTTATACCAACATTAAGATTAAATCTGGTGCGTTGTTGTATAATCTCTGCACACAAAAAAAGACCCTCATTTTTTTTTGGAGTTCATACCATGACTGAAGTCTGACATAGAAACAGTAGACCGTTAATAATAACAGGTCGTGTTGGCATGACTTTCTTTCCTTTCATCACTTTTGTTGCACAACGTCCTGTTATGTCCTGCGCTGTAGTCGGCCAAAAAATGTGCCGTTTTCTAACACTTCTACCATGTTATGAAAACAAAGCACATTTTCTTCGCAGTGTTGAACTTGAAACATCACGTTAATGGGGCCTAAAGCAGCTGGAGCATGATGGGAAATATATCAGTTCAGACATTTCAATTTTGTCATTTTATGTTGTGCTTTAAAAATCCATGCCTGGTTGTGTTCACTTCAGGATCATGGTCCTTGGCTGTTCTGTCAGCGAGGTGATTGAATGCCTCTAAAATCTCAAGGTAAGATTTCCTCTCTTCTTTCTTCACCTTGTTTGTGTGTAGTGTGTGTGTTCAGGTGTTCATGTGTGTGTGTGTGTGTCCTTGGTGTGTGACTCATTTCATTTTAATTTTCAAAAGTTTGTCTCAGAGTCAAGTATACTGTAGCCATTTCAGTTTTGGGACAAATGGTCAGTGTGATAACCCCACCACAGGGCTGTTTGAATATAAAAAAGTACTTTTCAGTCACAGTCCAAATGACTGTTTTTTTTTTTTTACTAATACTGCCAACATGTCTGGACGTACAGATAAAGAAGTGTGGATTGCCTGTTGCTAGGCAACGGTGAATGTTGCATTTATGGTCTGATCGATGGTATGAATTTTGAATTACTTACCATCTGTGTTTCTTAAATGACCACAGACTGGGCCACTCCGAGGTTGTCGCTGGGCCACATGTGGCCCTCGGGCCCGCTATTTGAGTTGGTCCATCCAGTGAATGAATTATCCACACGACATGTTTGTGAACTGGACACATTTTCAGGAAGTGATTTGTGAAAATGTCACAGTCAAAGAGGAAGTCGTGATACAAAGTTCTACTGCATATTGAAGTAACATTTACTAACAACGTTAACTTTTACAATGAGGCTCAATGATTAGGGATACAAGTTAGTATTTTTGTAATAGAGTAATATTCATTTAAATACAAAAATAGGAGATAAAAGGTGTTTGTTGATGTTTGTAAAAGTGTTCTTACTTTATTGAGACACACACACACACACACACACACTAAGGTACGTGTGGAGAATGACACGCTCCCAAGAACATAACAGAATAAGAGCAGAGCATGATGAAAGCTTCACTGTTGGCATGGCAACAGCCTGATCATTTGCATGGTGAGGTCTGATGTTTGACATGTCAACAAAGAATTCTGGGATGGAGAAGAGGAGCCAGAGATCCGGTTTTATCCAGTACAGTAGAGGGAGTCCTTTACATCTACTTGGCTGTTGAGTTTTATTCTTATTCTCTCTCCACAACACTACACCACAGCTCTGTGTGCTGAGGTTGGCCGACTGTTTGATTGATTGATTAGCATCTCTGTCATTTTTATGCTCTAAAAACAGAGCACTGCATGTCAGCAATCGATTCAAAAATCGAATGACAGCTTTAAATGCCCCACAGTGTAGAAAACCTGAGTCAAAATGTGACTGTTTCATAAAACTGTTTATGAACAATTAGTCATAATCTAATGCTTATTACCAAATGAAAAAATTACATAAAGGTAACCCAGATTGCTACAAAAGTTAGCCAAACAATCCGTAGTTAAACTAAACAACTTAGCTCAAGAAATATAAGTAGCTTACTGTGAGTGGGAGTCCTATATCTACATCTACAGGGGTTGCAGAAAAAAAATTGTAACCTCTGGTTTAAACCAAGAAACAATAAAGTTAACATATTTGTTTTAAATCACTGTGAGATCAGAATCCCACTCAGATCATTTCCACAGTAGAAAAACCCCTTCAGTTCAGTGTATTTTTCTAACCCTAGTACACGGAGCCATGTTAGCTGCCGTAACTCAAATATACATTGGCCTAGTGGACAGGGAGCTGTATTGACAGATTACACATTAATATTGAGTGGCAGGAAGTCAATGTTGTTCTGTGTCAACTACATTATAAAATCCATCTGCAGAGCCTGCTGTGAAACCCCTGCTGCAGGGTTTATGCATATGAAACCCTGTTCATATTAATGATAGCCTACTTTAACAGCATTCTCTACATTCATGCATCAAGTGAATAATTCATTAATGGGAATAATGATCAACCTTGATCATTGAGCTGTTCACAGAGTCTGTGTTGCCCTCGACACTGGAGGGAAGAGCAGTTATTTTTACTGCTTGGTGGTTAAATATGTTTTCCTAATATCCTTGAGAATTTACTGTGAGGTTATTTTTGTTTTCCTCTTCCTCTGCTGCACACAAAGTTCTTTCTTTTTTTCTTCGTCCGTCTGCCCTCCAGCGAGTGCTTTAGATGTCCAGGGGAGAGTGTCCAGGGACTCGTGTCCTCCCTCAACCCTGGAGCTATTTTAGGAAATGCTGGATGTGCTCCTTTCTCACTGTCATCGTGAGGGCAGAGTTTCCTCAGCCACTGTACCCCGGAATCAGATGTTTGATAAAAAAAAGTTGACATTTCCTCCTCTCTCTAATAATTATCGTCTGTTTTTATATATATATATTTTTTTCTGACATGTATCCATCCATCACCCTGAACCTTTATTGAGTTTCCCTCTGTTTACATCTCCTGCTCTGGTGATGACAGAGAACAGAACAACAGAGCCAAAAAACCCCTCTGTGTTATTTCTGTTTTCTGTTCTCTGCTGTTTTGTCTGCGACTCTGCTGTAGAACAAACCCTTCTCCTCCGTCTGCACCTAAAACCCTGAAACTCTTTTAGAGACAGCTGGCTGCTTCATTAGTGCTTTTCCTTTTCCTGCACATCCGTCATCCGTCGCTCGTCTCACCCAATCTATCATGCTCCCTTTTTTCCAATGCTTCGCTGACTTGCTTTTTGCCCAACTTGCTCCCTGTTTTTTTCCCTCCTGCCTCATTTTTCACACACTCGTCATCTCACAACACTTTCAGCCTTCATCCCTCTGTCTGAGTTTTCCTTTTTTTATTTTTGTATTTTTTTAAGGCTAATATCTGCTTAAGTGGTTTGGGTTTCATTCGCATTTATCTTTATCTAAAAACCTTATAAAAGGACTGGAGAGTGTGACAGCTATTACTCCCCCCAGTAGGTGGCAGTAATACAACTAAAAAAAATGCAGAGTTGCCAATAACACAAAGAAGAAAAGGAAACTGTTCATGATTAGCTTTTTATAAAATCTGAGCTTCAGGTTAGATTTGCTGCTTTTAGTAATTTATCTTCATTTTTTCTCCTTTTTAAAAATTTGGTTTTGATTGAAATCTCTGAAGACTCAGACTTTTACAGAAAGTTGGACAACCACACAACAACAACCACGTCTCTCTTTCTCTCTCTGTTTGTTACAGGTTATTTTTATCCTCCAGCTTCAGCCTGAATAGGCCGTGTTTGTGTTTGATGATGATGAAGTCAGTCTGATGTGGCAGAGTAAACAGACACAATTACATTAACATCACGGTTCTGTGAAATCACTGCATAATAAATGTCTTTGGTTCCACTCTGTGGAGACGGTACTGGGTGTCCTCCACGTCCCTGTGATCAGTGAAGCCAGACAGCTTTTCTGCTTTGTTATTATTTGCTGTGTATTATCACGCCAACATGGCAGGAGGAAGGTTGGTCATAGATGTTGAACCTATTGATGTTTCTGAGGTCAGATATAGAAATGACCAGTCGTGTGGAGTTTCTTTGTATTTGACGGTGTTTTTAATCGTCCAATACAAAGTGGACATATATGAACTTTTAGGACAAATTGGAAAAAAAATTATATAATTATATTATGAATTATAATTGTATAAAATAATTATAATTTATACAATTTAAACTAGCATCTTTGAATGTAAACTTTTCCAAGCTGCTTGAGCGACGTGTCTTAACACATAGTGACTAAATTTGGACATTAAGAATTACACTGTCCTGTTGAGTTCCATGTTGAATTTTTGATTTTCAGATTTGTTTCTTGTTTCTTCTTTTCCAGACTGTGAGCCCAGTGTAGGGTGGTGATGAGCAGCCAGGGCAGCAGCAGCAGGGGAGGTGGCCAGCATGCTGACACTCCCCCCTCACGTCAGCCTTCAGGACCCAAGCTGCAGGTTCAGCGCTCCCTCTCTCGTGACACCATCACCATCCACTTCTCTGCTCTGGGAAAGGACGAAGATGATGATGATGAGGAACTGTACGGGACACCGGTCGAAGCTAGACCAGGGTTGGGTGGGACAGAGGACATCGCAGTTCAGGAAACCTCCGGAGTTGAGGACCAGTCTGTGGCCACCGGTTTGGAGGCAGCAGAGGAGCTGCTGTTTGAATCCACAGAAGTAAACTCCTCCTCTGAACCTCCTGTGCTCCCTATTTCATCTACCACTCTGTCGTTACAGCCCTCCTCTCGCGTGCCCTCTGCAGCCGTGACTATCAATCCCACATCTACCCACTCTCACTTAAAGTCCAGCCCCCCTACGAGCTCCTCTTGGCCCTCTGAACTACCCACAGCTAATCCTTTGTCTACAAGCTCCAACTCGTCCTCCCCCGGGAAGTCTGCAGGACTGTCCTCCTCCAAGCCCTTCCTCAGCCTCGTCAGGTCTCTGTCCAATGACATTGAATCCCGAGAATCTGCCCCTGGGCCCACCGCCGCTACATCATCCCACGCACGCCACAGACACTTAATGAAATCTTTTGTCAAGTCTCTGTCCACGGACACATCAAAGGCTGAACATCAAGAAGGGCCTCTTCATCACTATCTCCATCAGCAGCCCCAGCAAACACAGCCGTCCCATCGTCCTCCACCTCGTAACATGCAGCTCCTAAAGCAGTTCTCCCAGCCTCGTCTGTCCTCCAGCCCCATGGTTGTCACTCAAACAGGTGGAGACTCCAAAACGGCCCCTTCGTCCCCGATTATGTCCCCAGATGGTAGGTCATTCTTCAAGGTCCAGGAGGTAGAGGCTAAGATAGAAGACACCAAGCGGAGGCTGTCCGAGGTGATGTCAGACCCCCTGCAGCTCTTCAGTAAGATCATCGGAGACGAGTCCAGTGTGGGAGCCAGTGGAGGTTCCACTCAGCGTGCCAGATTCCTGTCATCCAGTGCGTCAGAACTCAGCGGAGCGGCAGCCGTGAACGGACACGTGGATGGAAACAGCAACTACAGCATCAAGGAGGAGGAAGGGATGGAAGGTGAAGACGATGAAGACACGCCCACGGTGAAGGGTTCGGACTCCGTTTTTTTCTCCTTCCCGTCTCTGTCATCAGCACCGACCATCACTCAGGCCTCCACATCAACCTTCCCCAGGTCTCCCTCTCTCACTCTGGGTCGCTGCTCGATGTCAGCCCTGGTGGCTCGACAAGAAGACGAGGACTTCTGCGAACTGTACGCTGAAGACTTTGAGTTATGTACCGATACAGAGACACCGGAGGCAGATAAACCCAAATCACAGCAGCTTCATACAGGCAGCACTCGTCTGTCCAGTGAACATGACCTGGAGGAAGACGAGAAAGAGGGGGACGAGGAGGGGGACAGTGTTCCAATTACTGGCCTCATTTTCCTAACACAGTTGGTGTACTGGTACTTAGTTCTTCCGGTGCCACCCTGTGCATGTGCAGTGGTCCATGGGATCGCCGCAGGGTTCATGTTGGCCTTGCTGATCCTGTGGTTGTCCTCTCCACGCCGGTCAGGAACCAGAAGAGGAAGGAGAAAGTTTGGGTATTTAAATGTGGCCCAACTGGACATAAAAGAACCAGGAATATACAAGGTGAGATACAAAGGGATGTAGTTCTAGGATGTAGTGTATTTCTCTACTGCAGTATTACTATCATTAGATGAGGAAGAATAAAACAGTCAGAAATGTCAGTAGTCTTCAGCCTCACTGTCTTTCGAGAACAACCTTGGTCTAAACTTAACGATGTCACTGCTTCACTCCTAGGGTTGGATGAATGAAATCAACAGCTATGACCCAGAGATGTACCACGCCACCCTCACCCACTCCGTCTACGTCCGTCTGGAGGGCTCTGTCTTGCGCTTGTCTAAGCCCAACAAGAACATCTCCCGTCGCGCTTCACACAATGAGCCTAAACCAGATGTCACTTTCATTAGTCAAAAGATCTACGACCTGACAGACAGCAAGGTGTGGTGGGAAAAAGTTGATCTACCAATTTCTGTTTATGAAAAGCAACTTCAAGAGTTGGGTTAGAATTTTTGTCCTCAGTTAAAAATCATAATTTTTACCGTCTAAAAATCTGAAATCCTGCCACGTAGCACGGTTATCTTTATGCATTTGACAGAACAAACATGGTCTTTACTTCCTTCTAGATCTATCTGATGCCCCAGAGCTTGGCCAGGAAGAGAGTTTGGAATAAAAAGTACCCCATTTGCATCGAGTTGGCCAAGCAGGACGACTTCATGTCCAAGGCCCAGGGCGAGAGACCAGAGTCAGGGGAGGACAAATTAACAGGACAGACTGAAAAGTCAGAACGAACAGACAAAGGAGAAAAAGCTGAAGGACCAGCATCAACGGAGGAGCCCAAAAGGCCGAGTTGTGGGGGAGGGGATCTCACCATCTACCTGTTTGGGAGGACGGGTCGGGAAAAGGAGGAGTGGTTCAGGAGATTTCTGGTGGCGTCTCGGATGAAGATGGATGGGAGAGGAGGCAGCCTGTCTGGATTCTGCAAAAGTGGTGAGAGTCTGTCTGCACTGGACTGGCCTGTACGACACACACACACACACACACACACACACATTGTTTCTCTTCAGTTGTAACTACACAGCCATTAGGTTTGTGCAGGAACTCCAGCTTTGGGACTGCCAGACCCCTGACTGGGCAGATGAGTATGACTAGGTCAGCAGGATTATATGGCCTCACAGTCAGCGTACTATAGCTGTGGTCTCCGATGTGGAGTATAAGCCTGAAAGGATAATTCAAAAGCAGACGCTAACACTGTATCAGTGAATGGGATTAAAGGGAATGCGATTTAGCTTTTATCCTATAAATAAATTATACAGAGCAGGTTAGCAGACATTTGTCTTTTTAAAGGTATTTCTGTAAAATACAGAATAAAGATTCAGCATGTTCTAGTGTGAGTAAATGCATTCATTTTAAGAGCTATTATTTATTCATTCCAATCATTTAAAAATGTTCCAGCGGCTCAATCTTTAATCCAGAACCTTCTGTTACTCCCTACGCCTTGTCTACTTTTAGCTTTCCTGCTGTCCCATAGTCGCAGTGGCAGCTCCCAGTCTGGTGGGGCGCTGGAGGGCGACAGCAGGAGCAGCAGCAGGGGGAGCCTGGAGGAGCTCTCACAGTTGCGTCACAGAGAAACGTCTCTCTCCTGCGGCTCTTCTGGGGGGATAAAGCAGAAGATACTGCTGGACTATGACGTCTACATGGCCAAATATGTCAACCAGCCCGGAGCACAGAGTCCAGATGTGGCCGACAGCCCTGAGAACAGCCCTGAGAGCAGCCCTAAAGCTGTGAAAAAGGTCAAATTATATACATTATACAGCTGTGTTTCTAGGGAAATTAGTTGGAAATTAGCACTTTTAAAAAAAGAAATTGTACTATAAATAGTTTTGCTATATGTTAACAAAAGTAAATACAAAATTTCCCTCCACATATTCCTAAACTTACTGCTTTGCTAAAATTACAGTTTTATATGAAACTCAGATCACAGTCACAGAAAGGTGGAGAATTTTAAATCCCCTGTACTTAGTAACTAAGTTTAGATCTGGGCTGAGGGTGAAAGGAGAGTGGGGAAGATTGCCCTGGAGCTAAAATCAGGAAAACTATGCTAACAGCCAACTGTCGAATTTGTCTCCTGCAGGTACGCAGGACTTCAGAGTCGATGGTGGAGCCCGAGGCGTGGGTCAATGCTTTTCTTGGGAGAATATTTTGGGACTTCCTGGGTGAGAAATACTGGGCCAGTTTAGTCTCCAAAAAGATCCAAATGAAGCTCAGCAAAATAAGGGTGAGTGCTGCGTGAATTGAAATCTCACTGGAGTTTGTGGGCTGTTGGTTTTCATCCATGTTGCCTCTATTCATGGCATTTTGTCTCTCTTTTCTGCATCAGCTTCCCTATTTCATGAATGAATTGACTCTGACAGAACTGGACATGGGCTTTTCCATCCCTAAGATTCTCCATGCTTCTCAACCCTCTGTGGATCACCAAGGTGGGAAATGGAACTGTTCACATGATCCATGTTCTGTTCGGCCTTTCACCCTTTGGAACAAAATCAATGACGTTTTTGGCATCTCAGTCTCAGTCTCAGTCTCAGTCTCAGCCTCAGTCTCAGTCTCAGTCTCAGTCTCTGTCTCTGTCTCAGCCTCAGTCTCAGTCTCAGTCTCAGTCTCTGTCTCAGTCTCAGTCTCAGTCTCAGTCTCTGTCTCAGCCTCCGTCTCTGTCTCAGTCTCAGTCTCAGTCTCAGTCTCTGTCTCAGTCTCAGTCTCAGTCTCAGTCTAGTCAGTAGTAGACTTACAATTAAAACCAGAAGCGTGATGACAAGGTCGAACCTGTTGCTACGTATTAGCAGGAACCAGTCTGAGTCTGCGGTGTCTGCTTATGTGTTCAGTTTGTACCTATGCGCCCACACGTAAATACCCACAATGCCTCAGCAGCAGGAGTGTGTAATGAGTCCAGAGGGAATGGAGTGTGCCTGGCTCTAATGCTGCCCAAACCAAACAGAATGCACATGATTCAGAGCTCCGTCTCCTGCTGCCAGATTGTACTCACACTTGTGATGATGACGATAGTAAAAATGAAAATGTGTGTTGATGATCCTGTATATCCATGAGCTGACAGGGTTAACACTGTGTTTTAGTCACTGACTGGGTATCGATAACGTACTTGTGTTTTATCTCGGCCATTTATTTTACTATATAAGTACACACAAAATACAGCTGTGTGAAATCAGTGTTTGATTCACCTTAGTAGTAATAGTTAAAACATTAATATTAACACTACAGGAAGTTAAGACAAATTGTTTACCCTGAGCTAGCATTTGGCTAACTATACATACATAGCTAACATAGACAAGCTAAATAGCAAAAAGGCAAGAAAAAAATGACACTAAAAAAAATTATATACAAAATTACCCATAAAGATTTCTAAATATCTCAAAAGCTAACTACAGTTAGCTACACATACCCAGGAGCACCATAATAGAAAAAACATAAAAACCACTGTGCTTAACATAAATAAAAACATTTCCAAAAACTGCTCTGACAAGTACAACAAGCCCCTGTTAAAAGGTCATTTCTGCCCTGGTTCTGTTTTTACTTCTGTCCAGGTCTGTGGTTTGATCTGGAGGTGTCGTACACGGGCTCCTTCCTGATGACGCTGGAGACCAAGATGAATTTGGCCCGTCTGGGGAAGGAGGGTGAGGGACTTGGGGAGCATGGCAAAGAATGGTGAGTCTGTCTTTATGTTGACTTATTTGTTCATTAGAAAAAGTCAGTTTGTTAAAAAAAAAAAGTCCTTTGTGGGTTGATGTACGTTATCAAGCAAGCGGCCTATAGGGTTATTTACTCTTGAAGCCTTTTTAGTTGTCAAGTCTGTTTTTTCACAGCGCCTACCCTTCCTGTTGGTTCTTTCTCTCCTCTCTTTATATACTAACCTGTCTCTCTGGATGCTTACAACTATGGGTTTGTCAAATAAATGGTGAGTATGGGAAGAGGTGCTCACCGATGCCTGTCAATGAAACAATGCATTTTGATTTGGGTTGAAGTCTGCCTGGGGGAATCAGTGGGGAAACTAGGCTAGGATTATAGGGTGCTAGGATGGTGACTGTTAACACTCATTTTTTGTCTGTATGTGTATGTGACAGGCCCAGGCCTCGAACCTACTGCCTGGCGGACAGCGATGAGGAGTCATCGAGTGCAGGCTCGTCGGACGAGGAGGATTCCCAAGAACTCCTCAGTGACAAACCTGTTGTAGCCGGAGGCGAGGGGTGAGTGACTCTGTTTTTAAAACCATCAGCAGGGATCTGAATATAAAGTGAACACAGTTCGATTCCCACTTATGCGTTGAAGTCCACTCCATCCATCTGTTCAGTCCCACACAGTTTTAACCTCAGTGTTCAGTAAACCCAGGAAAACACAGTGAATTTACTCAGATAAGGCTGTTGCCATTCAAAACCCTTTACTTTATGTAAATACGTGTACTGTTACTATGTTGCAGTACATATGCGTACAGTCCAGATTTTAAATGTGTCCTAAAAGTGAGACTTTGCTAACACCTAACGTTGTGTGCTGAGTAGGAAGATGTGTTGCCATGAATAAATGATGAACCTGACTCACTCTTCCACTCCTCCGTCTCCATCCCCTCATCCCGCAGCTACGTGGGAGGCCACAGGCCCAGCAAGATCATGCGCTTTGTGGACAAGATTGCCAAGTCGAAGTACTTCCAGAAAGCCACTGAGACGGAGTTCATCAAGAAGAAAATGGAGGAGGTGTCCAACACGCCGCTGCTCCTCACCGTGGAGGTGCAAGAATGCCGCGGGACACTCGCTGTCAACATTCCACCTCCACCCACGGACAGGATATGGTACATTTACTCCCGAGGAGTTTATTGTAAACTGTCCAATGTGTAGAATAAAACACGGGTCTGATGGGTGTATTAAAGCGCCATCTGCTGGACAAATTATGGCATGCACGCTTTGAAATAATTTATGACCAATGAAATATACATTTTAAAAAATTTAGATTTTTTGAAAAAAAGCAAACAAATGACAAACTAGGCTTTTTAAATTTTTTATTATTTTACCACAAGATATAGTTTACCCAGAGCTTTGTCCCATGAGCCATCTAATTTATAATACTGGTTGATTTGTATTCCTGTCATATATTAAATACAGTGGGGTTAATTTGGTCCATTAACATCATTTATAATCTGTACTTTTATAAAGGAAGGTCATAGATTGTATCTTCTCCTCAGTCTTTACAAACTATTTTACCTTTCTTTGTCCTTGTCAGGTATGGTTTTCGTAGCCCACCTCACCTGGAGCTAAAAGCACGGCCTAAACTTGGCGAGAGGGAAGTCACTTTAGGTCACGTGACTGAATGGATTGAGAAGAAACTGGAACAGGAGTTCCAGGTATGTGACAGGATTATAGGAAACTCTGGCATGCTGTTGTTACTCCACAGGTTACTTCTTCGTACTTTCCATTCTTGACAAAGACGGTTGGTGTTTTCTGTAAACAGAAAATCCTTCTCCGTGGAGAGAGTCGTAAAAAAAACAAACCTAAAGATTATTTTATGGTTGCCAACCTCCATGTGCCTGTGGCTCTCCCACCCCTCTCATATGGCTGCCGTAATGATACGCTTGCAATGAGATAACTGCCCTGAGGCACAGTGGCAAACTGCTGCAGCAAAGAGTCCCTGTCTGATGTACCACACCTCTACATTTATCCTTAACTTACTCCTCCGGGAGCTATTATTAGGCGCTCCTCCCCAAACCATGCCTCAAGTAAAATACAATGGTGCTGCACACAATGTTTGTGAGTGTGGGGGATTGTTTAAGTTTGGTTTTCAACCACAGTTGACTTTGGGTTTTATTACAAGGTCAGATACCACATACAAAGCTAAATATATACAAGCGTTTCCCAGATTTATGAAATAATATGATCTCAGTTTAACACCTAGCCAAACCCTTTACATATACAGTTAACAACAACAATGCACATATTAGCTATCTCCCTGAAGAATTTTCAAGTGTTTTTTAGTCATGTTGTAAAGAACAAGATTTTTTTGCAGCTCTCTGGAATGTTCCTGTGACCTGTCCTCAAACCACGTGTTAGCATGAAAAAACAATGACTCAGATCTATTTTTCCTGCTTACTCCTTGAGGTTTAACGTCGTACTAACCGCCTCTTCAGAGTTCCAGTTGTGGATGCACTGAAGCATCCCAACTATTTCTCAATCCCCCACCGACATCTTTTACTTTGAAGGCATTGTTTTTTGGGTTGCGCCTCTTCTTTTCCTTCTCCAGCCTCAACTCCATGACAGAGTGGTTGGAGTTATGTCTCACTTAACCACATTATGTTGAGCTGCCAACATTTTCCAGGTTTCAACTCAACTCCACACATGGCTAAGTCATCTACTAGTTTCATGGCAGTTTTTCTACTTCCTCTTATAAGATTTTGCAGTACATCAACTAACTTCCTGTTCTTGTATGCTGAATATATTTGGGACGTATGTGATGGTAACATTAAAGTTATTATTTCTCTATTATTAGTCTGCTGCATTTGTCCTGCTTGTGGCTACATCCAATTCTTATACAGAACCTCAGATGGCTGTAAAAGACCATTTCCCTCTTGCTGTTTAATAATTAATCTTTAAATTCTGTTTGTCTGCCAACAGAAAATATTTGTGATGCCCAACATGGATGATGTATGGTTACCCATAATGCACTCCGCCATGGACTTGCGTTCAAACGCCAACTTGGTTACTGTGACAAATGATGCCTTGAAGGACCCAGAACCAGAGGAGTCTGAAGTCTCTGATATGTGAAGCCTCCCAAATTGCGTTGTACGCTAACGGACATTTCTCCACTATCGCAATACAGCGAGTTCAGGCCCGCTCAAAACCCACATGTGAAGCGTCGATCTGCCTTTTGCACCAGTTTGTGGCCATTCATTAAGTGCAATCACAAAGCCGTCAATGCCGGTGAGCTTAACCATTTGTTGCCACCTGGTGCAGAACAAATGATCTGTTGTAATTTTTATGACATCGAAAACTCAAAGGATTCATTTCCTAATGAAGTACTTGTGGTGCAACAGTCATCTCATCCATTTGGAAGAAACAGGATCTGTGATTTACAGTTGCACCAAATGGAGTTCTTGTACTGTACAAACTTTTGGTGCAATATTTCCGGTCGAGCAGTTTTTCCTTGCTGTATCTCTGAGTGAGATAATACTGCTGAAATTCTGTGATAAGTCGCTAAAATGTCTGTGTCACAGGTAAGTGAAGTGTGGTTTATCTCCCACCCACTGCTGCCTATGTGTCAGCCTTCTGGGACTCTACATGCAAAGGGATCAGTGGAGCTGTGTACTCAGATACAGAGCCGGCTTAAAACCTCCATCAGTACCTACTGTGTATCCAACAGCCTGTGTGCTTTGTGATAGGGACTAGAGCGACTTTCAGATAAAAAAAAAAAAAATTATTCACAAAAACAGCAGCTTCACATTGCCTAGGTCTGATGAATGTATAGAAATGCAAATTTCAAGGGGATTTATGGATGTGCTTCGGTGTAACATGCTTGAACACTTTTTTTAAAACATCATGGTCAAAGCTGAAGAAAATCTTTTGCTTTACTTAGCCAAAGCTATATTTTTTCCTGAAGGTGACACATGGATATTAAACCAGTCCCAGCTGAGGACACTTCAGCCTGTAATACTCAGGCAACATTTGAGGATTGTTCTGGTAAAGTTAGGGACCATTACCATATTACCAGGTGTTTTAAGTCAGAAATGTACCAAACCTTCCTGTTCTCGTTAATATGTGACATACTAGATATTACTAATTTAACTTTCTTTAACATTCCTTTCTGTTGGATAATTTTATTTCTGTAGCGCTCACATCAAGGAAGCATAAGCCTACGACACTTCAACTTCTTAAATCTGCCAAGACACCCAGCTGCTTAGAGGTGATGCTACCATGTCTTACATTAAAATGTGTTGGCAAAGTGTACAAGGCAGAAAGTGCCTTGAGATAAACATTCCTTGTTGCAAGCCACCACCTTTGTTGCCTCATTTGATTTGGGGGAAAAAAAAGAATTCCTGCTTCAACATGCCCCAGTTTCATAAGTTTTGGTGATGTTCATATTCGTTAAAGGTTGCTCAACATCGCAGTTGTGTTCAGTAATGTCAACAAAATGTTACTGCTCTGATCATTAAGATCAATAAATCCCTTTGCCTGGAAGAGACTGTGTGTAGGATATTTTTAATTTTCAATACATGTGTTAAATTTAAAGCAGAAAGCCTTCATTTGATAACTTTTGTATCTTGCTTTAAAAGAGCAACTTGGTAGAATTGCCAAGAATCCCCAGTTATGACAAGAATTCATCTTGCACTGTGTTTGACCTTTTGAGTGGCTTATGAAAAAAGCCAATCAGGCTCAGAAAAGTGCATTATGGAAAAAACCAAAACAAAAACCAGACATGGTTAAAATTTGCTTTATTCAGCCCTCTCACACGCAGCGGTCATAGCATCACATCACGACTTCATCCATCTTACTGTGCATTTTTACACACATCATCCAGCTTCATACACCTGCAAGGAACAAAAACACGTGTGAGTGAAAGATCCCGGTTTAAACACAAAGACAATGTACTTATGTGCCATGTCAGTTGGTATGTTGACTTCATTTGAACATCAGAAGTCTAACGCACTGAAATCATCATTCGTGGCCAGGTAAAAAAAAAGCTGCACTTTAAATACGTTTTATTTAATGCAACAAAAACAAAGCGTTATTATGTGGAGTCTTGATATATTGTGCAGCAATATTCAGAGAAATACTTTTAGGAAGATATAAATCCAGTCACCTTTAACGACTGGCCTTCATTTCCACGTCCACGTGCTGACCAGCAGCAGTTGCTCCACACCGTGCCGCCAGACTTAGTTGCTGCTTACTGTGTAGGAAATCAAAATACATTGTGATTATAATACATAATTAAAACATTTATTTATAATTTTATTCAAAGTTTTGACCTAAAAAAAAAAGCAACTTACCCCCACGCGTTCCACACCGTAGAGGCCTAGTCATGCCGCTGCACAATGCTAACTTACCTTTTTTTTAAAAAAAACAGGCTTTAGTTCTCTGTTATTATCACGTAGCATTGTGAAAATGACATTGTGAAAACATGCCAGGAGCAAAACGCACGCCTAGATTAAAGCCACATTCTTCTGATTGAATACGCATGATCAAAACCCACATGCTCTCCAACAAGCATTGGTAGAGAAAATGTCCCCCGGATGTATTTTATACCACATCCGTGTTGGTAGTAATGCTATGATTGGTCAGTTGTCTTCGGCTGGTTTCCCCTCCTCCACTCATTTGGAAGACTTTCCCGAAGTCCAACCCCCACAGATTTTCAGTTCAGGAAGCTGAAGCTCCAGGCACAGACCAACGCTGTTTCTGGTACTGCCGCAGGGTCAATGCGTTTAACATTTTAAGTCGATAAAAGCTTTCGTAACGTCTGTTTGTGAGCCAAACACGTTTTCTATGTAGCCCACAACCACGCGGACTGACTGTCTGTCCCGGTGTAAGACCATAAACATGGATTGGACAGCGAGCTGCCGGGCCCTGCTGTGCTGCGTATTAGCGCTGCTTTGCTGCGCCGCTTTCACACACAAGGTAAGAGGCTGACTGGATAAAGCTAGCTTTACTTAAATATCATTAGTCTGGCATTAACCACATGCATAACCCAACACAGACCGCTGTGTCCACTTTTATCCTCACGAATATCATTCACCCACGCTTACATTTGTCATGCCTTGGTGGACGTTTTCAGCTGGTGGTCAGCTTGTCTTCACATAAAAGAGCTAACGTAAATGTTAGCATAATATATTCATTTAAATTGTTATACACACCCATGGCTCTAATGTTTTATAAACTACATGTTTTGACAAACCAAAATCCAGAATTATAGCTTCAAACCTACCACATCTCACTATTAAGTTAGTTAAAAAAGCCAGTTCAACATTTTTCACACCAATATGATCAGAACAATATTGACTTTGCATTCAAATGCCCGTGGTACTGTAACTGATCTGTGATGTCTGATTCCCAGCATGTTATTACAGTTTAACAGTCACTGTTTGTTGCACAAGACTAAACACACATCGTGTGTTTGCACACCAGTAGCTGCTCCCAACAGTAGCCATTATTTGATCTGGAAAGTAGTGCATAATACAGAGGAAACACTTCTTTATTCATATAATTAGTTGGTATAATGATAAGTCATTTGCCTCACAAAAAGGAACACTTTAAACACTTCCACTTTTTCCACGTGTGCATTTAAGCTATAGTCTACAAACAGAAAACACTTATATGTAAAGGTGAGGTCAGTGAAACCATTCCAGAAGTCACTAAACTGCACTACTTCATGGAGATAACATCAATAAATATATATAACTTCAATGTGTAAATTTACTTGAAGAAACACTAAAGTTGTATCCGACTCAACTCAGGAATAATTAAACCAATGCCTGCTAAGCTAATAAACAACTTCAACTAAGCAGTAGATAAAAGTACCCTTATATGCCATATCATGTCACAGGATCTCCTCATAACCAGTTGGAGGCTGGCTATGAGAGTAATGTGTTATAAATGATTGGCTATAGATAGCAATGGTACTGCTTGTTTGTGTAGTTATGTATATGGCAGAGTGATTCAAATGACCACTATGTAAGTTTTTTTTTTCATGTCACTGTTTGTATTTTAAGGAGGTTGTAAAACAACCTTAATTATTTTTTATTTTTATTATTATTCTATTTGAACTAATTCATGTTGTTGTTTTTCTTCTTAACCTGTGATCCTGGCTCATAACATTATCATAACAGTAGATTGGTTGGACTATTCACAGCGTGCGTCTGAACGACAGCCGACACGTGATGTTTGCCCCCTTGAAACAATATCACACAGAGAGTTCCTGATAGTAAGTGTGTTGACAGACATATGTTGCAAAATGTGGCAGGGCGAAAAATAATTACACCTGCCCAGGATAATTAACACTGATGATGCCACATTACTTCTATTGATTGGTGCAACCATCAATTAAGACTTTGTAAATGTACACCTGAGTGCATGTTTATGTGAATTTTTCCATGCTCACTGCAATGTACTTCACACTTTGGAAAACACTCACCTTATGCGTTTATCTGCCTACTCTTTGTCTCCACATAAGTCACAGGCAGAAGATACGTTAGAGTAGACCATAGTTGTACAAGCTTCTAGTTCTTCATATTTCTGTTAATATTATGTAACATTTATGCAATACCACCAGGAAACACAAAAGGAAATGAGAGCAGTGTCTGATGTTTCGATAAAAACAAACTCTAGAACTCATCTCGCCCATTCGCATGAAAAATGAGACATCTAAAACCTGAAACATATTCATGCAGCCTGTCTTTATGCAAAGACAAACAGATGTTCACAAGGCTGTACCTTGTGAAACCAGAAATCCTGACTCAGGCTTTTAGGTGGGTTAAAAGAAAAACAAATTAGTTCTGTCTCTTCTAGTGCTGCTGATGCTCTTAAGTATGAAGGCAGCTGAGTGGGAACAGGCACAGGTGCACACTATTGACTCAAATGCATATGAAGGGTTTGACATCTGTTGATATAGTGTGAGCTTTACAGTGGGGCGGGTGGTGGTGGTGGTGGTGGGGGGTTGTTGTTGTTGCTGTGGTTCCGTCTTGGTTGGTTATTGTTGTTGTTTAATTTGAGCAGGGAAACGTGCATGGGGCAAAAGAATGCATTGTTGAAGAAATACAAATAGCCACCTCGTACTGTGAATGCACATGTCTGTTACCATGAAGAAATACCCTGAATGACTGTGTTCACACTGGGGCCTCTTCACACCACTGGTGTTTGTTTGTGCAAGGGTTTAAGTTAATTTGACCCCCTCCCCCCCAGACTTGGTAATTGCTGAGACGACAGTGTTAATATTTCTTTACGTGGTTTCTGTGTTATATGCCCCCACGCGCCCCTCCCGGGTCAGGATTAGTCAGGGATGTTGATTCAGTTCCTCTGTGGTCCAGTAGGTGGATGATGAAGGCTGTCAGAGGCTTAACTGCGGTGAAGTTATTTAGACAAAAAATAACTTTTTCAGGGGACTTTCTTAGTTGTAGCAAAACAAATGCACATCCTTTGTCAGTTGCAAAGCAGTTTGAACCAGTATTTGGAGGTTTACCTTGTGCAGAGGTTTTCTTTTTTGTGGCCTTTTTTCGGGTTAATTTCTTTTTCTATTGTTTGTCCCAGATGAGTCAGATTGCACCACTATGAACGTTTATTACCTTCTAATGCATCATTTATTTATTGTCTTAGTTGCAACCTTTAAGCTCCGGCTATAATCCTCTGGGGTTTCCCTAATCATCCCCTATTGTTTTCTAGTGCTGTGATTATAGTGTATTGATTTCTTCTTCAGACCAGGTGGAATGAATCAATTTTGTGAGCTATGATTTACAGTATCTGACTTAAGGTTAAAGCACAAATCCAAAGGACCCTGGGTAAAATTAGGGTGATGATCAAAAACCAGCAGTTGACACATCGTCATCATTGTCATCATTGTCATTTCTGCCACACATAATGGTTTAACATAGGAATTTAAATTGGGACACCAACACTCACTCTGGTCTGTTCCGATCACTGCTGTTTAAGTGCCTTGTGGAGATGGGGCAGTTAACACTTCATCCTTTGTTCCCCTCAGGGTGTTTGCAGTGCCGGCACTGTTTCCCTCCCTGAAAGCCTGCTCTTTGTGTCCACCCTTGATGGAAACCTGCACGCCGTGAGCAAGAAATCAGGATCCATCAAGTGGACCCTGAAAGAAGGTAAGAGGAGAGCACAGGATGCCTGTTTGTGTGCCTGCCTCAAAGTGCAGTGGGTTTTTTTTTTTTTTTTTTTTTGGAGGGTTAGATTTGCAAATGGTCCAAGAGCTTTTAATGTGCTGCCAGAGGGATGACAAAGAGATCGAGTTGACCTGCCTTGGTCATCAATGATTCACCCATTTGACTTCTAAGTGACTCAACAACTATTTTTAAAATGAATTAATATGTTTTAATTTGTTACTGTGCTCCAGGGGTGTTTACATTTTTTCTTGTTTTCTTGCCTTACAAAGGTGGTCATGTAGATATTTAATAAAAGAAATAACTTTTAACAATCTATTCCACAAACTAATTAAGTGCATATAGTACATAATTATCATGTTACGGTGCATGATTACACCTGTTGCTTAAGTGCATTAACAGTCACTTACACTAATATGAAGAGTATGCTGTCCTGCCTGCTTAGTTCACAGAGAGAACTTTGTAGTCCCGACCTTAAAACATTTGTGTTTAGTTGGTGTCAAACCACAGTGAGAAAACTGAGAAAAGAGGAACAGCATCACTGTTTTCAGAAACAGAACATTCAGATCTTTATCTTCCACGACCTGCTGAATTATGAAGCTCGCTTCTGACGAAGTCTCTCCACTGGTAGAAAACATTTCCACCATTAGTCTCTGGGTTTAAACGCTTTATGAAGGAAAATGCCCTGAGATGGTGCTATTAGGTACAGGAACTGGGTAATTATTAACTGAGGGAAGGGCAAATATAGCCTGCAATCGGTGGCAGGAATTAGTGAAACGTAAGCAACTTTACTGCACGTGTTTTTGGAGGCACTTTCTGATTTTTTGCTTTAAGTAAGCTCTTTCATATAAATAATATAATAAATCTAGATTAAACTGGTCTGAAACCTAAACTGCTTATTGTTGCTCCACCAAGCATCAATAATCAGCATCGTCTGGTTCCTCTGCGTCATCTGTTATTCCGGAAGAGACAGAATGAATATAAATGATTTGCTCTTTCTTCAGCACCACCTGTTGTTATTTTTCTGGCGGCCAGACATCAACGTGATTTGTTGGCTTTGGAACCGATATCTTTTCTCTGGACTGTGACTCCTCTCATGTGATTTTACATATAGTCAAAACTGGCACTGCTTCAACACAACATTGTCATTGTCCACCTGCAGCTAATCCTGCCTCCTGCCTTCCCTGATATTTGGCCTTCTTAGGTTCTATCCCAGAGAGCAGCACCATCTGGCCCACGCCCTGTATGTTCACACTGCAGGGACCGGTGTTTATCTGTTAGCAATGAAGGTGTGGGCTTCAAACACATTGGATTTTATTTACTATTTTTATCACCTACTGTTGAACTGCTCTCACATTTAATTCTCACTCTTAAAAGTGGATTCATTAATAATAAATATAAAATCAATGTTTTAACTCAGATCAACCTTTTTTTCACAGAACACGGCTGTTTGTCTTTGTCGCGTTCCGCAGGGGAAATCGTTTTTTATCAAACTCTGTGTCCACTCTCTCTGATGGCCACAGTTTTCATTGTTGCTCAATGTTCTTGTCTATCCAGACATCACTTCTCATTTTCTCTTTTCACAGATCCAGTTCTTCAGGTCCCCACGCATGTGGCAGAGTACGTATGTTTACGTTGTGGCCACTTTCTTGACTGTGGTTCACGTTCTTGACTGTGGTTCACGTTCTTGACTGTGGCACCTATGTTCAAAAGAGGAATCTGAATGTTAATGAACGTGATAACCTGTTGAGCTTGTTTCAAACCCTTGTCTTTAACACTCTCTCCTTCTCTGCTGCTGCATTTCTTTTATCCTCCCATTAGGCCGGCGTTTTTACCTGATCCGAATGACGGCAGCCTGTATTCTTTAGGAGGAAAGAACAACGAAGGCCTGACAGTAAGAGGAAACGACTTCTATCACAATGTCTCATCTGTATTCTCTAGCGAGCCACACATCCAAGTTCCTTGTTTCGTAGAAAAACCACATACCACAAGTGTATTAGAACGGAATTTTACCTGTTATATTCAAGCACTTGTTGACACTTTTTTTAATGTTTGCTCCGAACAGAAACTGCCATTCACCATCCCAGAGTTGGTGCAAGCTTCACCCTGTCGCAGTTCTGATGGAGTCCTTTACATGGGTAAGGCCCACGCACGGATGGAATGGTGTTTCTTATCTTATACTGTGGTTTGTGGTATGGTTGTTTTGATACCTTTTTTTTTTTTAACAAACCGAAACTGATACAAGTAATTTCCTAATCACTTTGGGTTTGAATAAAATCATAAAATGTTAATTCGATTTTGGTAGTCTAAAGAGATAAATGACTGTGAGGTAATAACTTCACATCCATCGAAAATGCGATTAACCTGAGAAGACACATGAATGTTTTCAGCACCAAGGTGCAATCTCTGGGTGTTTTGGAAATTCTATACAGATACTTGATACTGCTGGAACTGGTATTGGTATTCAGCATATATGACCGCTCACAGAGGACGGTGAGTGTGTGGTGTTGTTTGAGGGGACACTAGTGACTGCATGTGGCCCTCAGAATGCTATTTTAATGACCAGACCGATGCCAGAGCTGAGTTTGTTTTTTCTCTTTTTTTAATTGATGATGCACAGGTAAGAAGCAGGACCTGTGGTACGTGGTGGACCTGATGACTGGTGAGAAACAGCAGACTCTGACGTCCTCCTTTGCTGAGATGCTGTGTCCCTCTTCATCCCTTCTTTACCTGGGACGTACAGGTAAAAACAAAACATCCTATCAATGTGGAAACACAAATTGTTTTTCTATTTTTAGTCCAGCTCAGATACCTGACTTGATTTAAATCATTGTTTGTTTTACTCCCTCTAAACCCATATTGAGACAAACTCTTTTCCTCCATAAGTTTTATCCCCCACCTCACCAGGTCCCCAAATCTGAAATAAACTCCGTGACCTCAAACAATGAATAGAGGACATTATGGAGGACTGTGTATCTCAGTTTTCACCTCTTTGCTGCTCCAATTGTCACACACCTTTCACGGCCCTTTGTTTTTACATCTGGAATTGGACACCATTGTTAAGACTGCGTTACATCAGAAAAGCCAAACAGAGCAAATGTTTTCCCTGTGTGGATAAGTTACTGTTGTTCATCTCCCTGATAGAGTACACCATCACCATGTATGACACAAAGAGCAGGGAGCTACGTTGGAATGCAACCTACAGTGACTATGCCTCCACCCTTCCTGATGATGACACCAAATACAGTGAGACTCTCAGACCCTTTAGCAGGTATATCTGCCCCACAGACCAAACAACAAAACCTGACACTCTCACCCTTTCTCCACAGAGATGGCTCACTTTGTGTCCAATGGCGACGGCCTGGTCGTGACCGTGGACAGTGAATCTGGGGATGTGCAGTGGGTCCAGAATTACAACTCGCCTGTGGTTGCTTTGTATATCTGGCAGCGTGAAGGCCTACGAAAGGTTCCCCACACCAACCTGGCAGTGGAAACCCTGCGTTACCTGACCTTTATGTCTGGAGAGGTCGGCCGCATCACTCAGTGGAAATACCCGTTTCCCAAAGAGAAGAAGCCACAGAACAAGTTCATGTAAGCAGATAAAAATAAACAAATATAAAAGTGTATAAGAACACTTTCTTTTACACTCGTTGAAATCTCCAGTCTTAGCATTTCATATTAGATTGCTAAATACTGCTGTCCAGTCCAGACATGCAGAGATTAATGTGTGGGTGCTAAGCACATACTGTAGTTCTGATTCTTAATCCCTACGAAAATACATGTTCCTGTGGGTTAGCACCTGTTTCTGCTGAAACAAACACAACTCTGGGGTCAGTCCTCAACAAAGTTTTCCCCTATTTAGGGAAGTAGTGGGAGAACAACGAAAGTATTTCAGCATTTCAAACCAGTGATTGTAAGATCCACATTTCTCGTGGAGCAGTGTGTCACCGTGTATGCATTATGTTTACATTTTATTTAACAAGTATTTTTAAAACGTCCTTACTCTCCTTCAGGTCCACTCTATATGTGGGTAAATACTCCACCAGTCTCTATGCCTCCCCCTCTCTGGTCCATGATGGAGTCACTGTGGTGGTGAGTGACTGTTAAAAGTCTATTTCCATTTAAGCAAAGCACAGTCATATCAGTGAGTGAAGATAAAACTGGTACGTTTGCTCATTGTACTGTGTAACTGCTGCTGGTTTGGTGTCTGAATACAGCTTTTATCTCAATTTCCCATTTTACTGAGGACTGTGGGGAATAAACACCAGAGACACCTAGAGGTTGATTGTATTTTAATATTTATACATGAATATGTTTGTGTGTTATCCCACAGCCTCGTGGCAGCACCTTTCCAATGCTGGAAGGACCCAGTAGCCAGGAAACAGAAGAGGACAAAGAGTGTGTCATCACACCCAGCACCAGTGTGAAGTTCAACTCTGCACTGAGGGAGCAAAACCGCATCAACTACATGAGGAACTACCTGCTTCTAATAGGTGATACAAATGAAAAAAAAAACATATATATATATATATATATATATATATATAGCTATGTATGTACTGTATATGGCCTTAAAAGATGTGAGGCTGCCCTCTGCTGGATGATGCTGCGAAATTGTTGTATGCAGGACAAACGGATTTCACTTGTGCTTGTCTTTACGTCTATATTCCAGGTCACCATGAAGTGCCACCTGAAGCTCACACAAAGATATTGGAGAAGTTTCCCGACAATTTCCCTCGCAATCCAGGCAACGTCATTCCCCCTAAGACCGAGAAGAAAGTAGAGGAGGTGTGCATCACTCCACAACTTATATTTCTTAACCCACTATCCCTGCTAGTTTTCCTCACCTTTGCTCTTGTTCTAGATGGTGAATGATAGTGGAATGGATGAAGGCCCTCCTTCCGCAATGCCTGAAACATCAATTGTAGAACCTCTGTCCGGTGGACGCTCCAACCGCCCTGAGGCTCCTGTGGACTCCATGCTCAAAGACATGGCCACCATCATCTTCTCTACCTTGCTCCTGGCTGGATGGGTGGCCTTTATGATCACCTACCCTAAAGTAAGTCTAAAACTGCCATTAAATGGACAGCTGCCTGAGGTTGATAGATCAAGCACTATTTTTATCAACAACTTCCTGTACACAGTTTTCTCACTTTCAGTGCATTCTTTTCTGTCACAGAGTGTCCACAAGCAGCAGCTGCTGCAGCACCAAGAGTTCCAGAGACAGATGGAGGAGCGGCTGGAGCTTCTGCAGAGGCAGCAGCCGTTTCCACCTGCAGAAGTGGGCCTGGGCTTGGCCCAAGACAGCGACTACCTGGAGGTTGCACGTATCCGCTCGGAATGCTCGGATCACAGCAGCCCAAATGTCACACCTCGAGCATCCAACCACTCTAACATGTCCTTGTCAGAGTTTGGCAGCTCGGCCAATGAGCATGAAGATGGAGGTATGAAAAAAGATGGAGAGATTTCCACAAACATAATAAAATAAAGTGCTACAGCATTATATTCATGTTTTTTTTCTTGTCTTATCAGAGGAAGAGTCTAGTTTGGTCCGTGTAGGTAACATAACATTTTATCCCAGAGAGGTGTTGGGTCACGGGGCTGAGGGCACCATTGTGTACAGGTAAGCCTGAACATGGACAATGTCATTAGCTCGCTTGTTTATTCCAAGTTAGATTAAAATAATAATATTTTTGTAATTGTCTGTTTTCCTCAAGGGGTCATTTTGACAACCGCTCAGTGGCAGTGAAGAGAATTCTCCCAGAGTGTTTCAGTTTTGCCGACAGAGAAGTTCAGCTGCTGAGAGAGTCGGACGAGCACCCCAACGTCATTCGCTACTTCTGCACAGAGAGAGACCGTCAGTTCCAGTACATCGCCATCGAGCTCTGTGCTGCCTCACTCCAGGAGGTAAATAAAGTCTAGTCTACTTCTGTGGTGTTTGGCTTGTCAGAAGTTAAGATGGTTTAAATTGTTTCCTAAAAATAATCTGTCATCCCTTCAGTATGTGGAAAGAAAGGATTTTGACCGTCATGGACTGGAGCCAGTCATGCTTCTGCAGCAGACCATGTCTGGACTGGCACATTTACACTCACTCAACATCGGTAACAATCACTGGACATAAGATGACTGTTACATTTACAACATTTTAGTAATTAAAACATTGTTCTAATTTGTTTTCTAATTTCTTCTCCAGTGCACAGAGACCTAAAGCCCCACAACATTCTGGTGTCCATGCCCAATGCCCATGGTCGTGTGCGGGCCATGATTTCTGATTTTGGCTTATGCAAGAAGCTAGCAGTGGGTCGCCACAGTTTCAGTAGAAGGTCTGGGGTTCCGGGAACTGAGGGCTGGATTGCACCTGAGGTTCTTAGTGAGGACTGCAAAGACAACCCAGTAAGTGTGGAGTTAAATTCTGACCTATTGTTTGACCTTTAGGGCAGCCCTACTTTGTGCTAGTTGTGTACAGTAGTGGTGCTAAGCTCTGCTCTTTCTCTCTCTCCCTCTGTCTGCCCCTCACACAGACCTGTGCTGTTGACATTTTCTCTGCTGGCTGTGTGTTTTACTACGTCGTGTCCATGGGCAGCCACCCATTTGGCAAATCTCTACAGAGGCAAGCCAACATTCTGCTGGGCAACTACGGCCTCGACCATCTACAAACTGACAAACACGGTGAGGATTGTACTCTTGGATTTCGTAGAACAGTTGGGAGGGTGTCAGTAAATGCTTGCTGATGCAATATTGTTCATTTTCTGTCAATGGTTTACAGGGGACATTGTGGCCAGAGAACTAATAGAGCAGATGTTGAGCATGGAGCCCCACAAGAGGCCGTTGGCTGACAGTGTCCTCAAACACCCTTTCTTCTGGAGCCTGGAGAAAGAGCTACAGTTTTTTCAGGTCTTGAATTTGAGTTGAGCTACAAAGTCTTGCTGTCAGTGCTGCAGTTAAAGAACATTCCTTTTAATGTCTGTAAGGGGAATGCTTGTTGTTTGAGTTAGATATTGTTATATATGACACCTTCTCTATCTCTATGCTGCAGGATGTTAGTGACCGAATAGAAAAGGAACCGCTGGACGGACCAATCGTGAGACAGCTGGAGAGAGGAGGGAGGGCTGTTGTCAAGGGTGACTGGAGGGAACACATCACAGTTCCACTGCAAACAGGTATGAGGTGGTGGCAAAAAAATCCAAAACCTGTGTTCAGACACGGGGTTCATCTGGTGTTTAAAATGGGGAAATGATCATAGAGAAATCATAGATCTGTTTATAGTGGATCTACACAGTAGAATCCAGTCGTATATGCAGTACCACTGTCGACCAGCAGCCGACTCAATTTACCAGGAAAACCGGAAGCCAGAAATTAAAACTCTCATTGCAATTTGAAGACCATTTGTACAATGATAAACAAAATTATCCTTTGTTGCTTTCAGGAATAAAATTGGTCGTTCTGTTTTTGTCTTTCCAGATCTGCGCAAATTCCGCTCCTATAAGGGAGGGTCAGTCAGAGACCTGTTACGTGCAATGAGAAACAAGGTTTGTGTGTTTGTTCACACTGACATGACACACAGCTTGGTTGTGCGAATAACTTCGGTTAGTGACGTTTAGTGAAGAATCATTTATTTTGTATATTTTTCTCTGACAGAAACACCATTACAGAGAGTTGCCTGCCGAGGTACAGGAGACTCTGGGCTCGATTCCCGATGACTTTGTCTCCTACTTCACTTCCCGGTTCCCACACCTGCTAATGCACACCTACCTGGCCATGTGGCACTGTGCCTCCGAGAGGCCGTTCCTGCCCTATTACTCTGCAGTGCAGCCTGACAAAAATGCGGCCATGCACACACACACTGGGCCACAAAGACCAAATGAGCTTTGCACTCAAGAGACCACGTCAACACACACATCTGTGACGTCCCCACAACTGCATGAACCTACAGGTTCAACAGAGCCAGTGCAGGTCTGTCAGTCACCCGCTGGTGCCCTCAGGGTCACATGATGAGCCTCTACCTTCACATTTGCCTGTACAGACAGTGGTTTCTGAAGTACACACTCAAACAGTAAACTTTGCATTTGTACCAGAAGGGCAAATGGATTCACTCAAGCAAAACGACTGTGTTCAATCTGAATTGCACATCTTGCCAAATTCTCCCACACTGGACAAAGATCCAGTGTGACCTGAGTTCTTTTTTTCATCCCAGCACAAATGGGAATCTCACCTTCATAAAGCGAAAGGGTGTGTAGTTGCTGCGCTTTGTGCTGGTGAGGACCAGGCCTGCAGTGCCTGGGATCCACTGCCAGGTGCCGCTGCTGCACTTCTCTGTTTTAAGTGCCTTTCCCCTCAACTGGCTTGAATTATCCACGTCTGCCTCTATTCAGAGGAGGTCAAAGACCTACCAGAGTCTCAGAGGACGACAGAAAAAGAAAGATGTCTTCTGTGTTGTTCTTGAACATGTGGGTACTTTTATTGTGCAATGTTGTATTTCTGAGTGAGTTATTTCACTGCACATATACTGTATGTATATTTTTGTACAGTCCGATTCACAATATGAATCACCAATGGAAAATCATTCAAAATGGCCAAAGTGCCTTTTTAAGCATCACTGTACTGTGGGTGCAGATCTTTATAAATGACTATGCTAAATGTGCTTGATTCCAGTTAATGCTGCTAGACCGCTCATCCTTTGTCAATCATTACGTTTGTGCTGACTCATTCAGAGTAATTTAAAATTAATTGTTCCAGGGCGTGGTCAGGGCTGCTTTGAATACAGTTTGTATTTTTTATTCATGGGTCATTACGTAGATGTTTGAGTTTAATGGTCAATTTTAAGGGTCTCAAAGTGATGGCAATGACTTGACATTAAATTCTATTTTTATAAAAGGACTGTGTTTTCATTGTGATTTTATTGTGTTATACCTGCAAATGTAATGTGAGAATTTTTAAATAAAGTCAATAGCTTCATGGAGTGAAGACAAATACAGAGTTTGATTCATATATCACGATATATCCTGCTGCTTTCGTTTTTGTGAAATAGCACCCCATCCGAAAGACGGCCATTTCGAGTACTGCGGGCAATACTAGGTCAGTGAAACAGGAACAACTAAACTGCTAGGAAATTTAAGCTAATACAGTTTATTTAACCTGTTTAGGTTAGCTTCCTAATCTCAAGAAACTTTATCGACACGGCTTTACAGACAGCCTTTATTCATTTAAACGTATCAAATCCGCCTTTTTTCGTTGAAAGGTGTTCCGTATATTACCTAACGTCTGTGAGCAAGTGAGTGGTGTCGTTGAAAGGTGTTCCGTATATTACCTAGCGTCTGTGAGCAAGGTGGTGCGTGCTGTTGTAACGAGTAACCACAAAAATGTTGTGTTGGCTCACCGTGACCTAGTGACCACAAGAGGTCTCCCTTTACCAGTAGATTTACTAGTACTAAGTCAACGTTTTATTTAATAAAAAACTACGAGTGGGTGCACCATCAATCAGTTCAATAATATAATTTATTTTATTTTGAACTCTCATTTACAAAACCAATTGTTACAAATTGAACAGATTTAACAAACGCTCCACCCTTAAGTGACTATGCGCGCTCCCGCTATCTGGAAGAGAAATATATCTGGGATGGGCTTTTAGTACAACACCGACGCGCCTTAACTCTGTTCTCAGCCAGGCTCTTTATAAAGTCAACGCATGGACATTTAAGGCTCTGAGGATTCGAGTTTATTAAAACTTTGTAAGTTATTATGGAATCAGATCAAGAAAAATTCAGACGGCGAATGTCACAGCTTTTGGAGAAACAAGGGAATGGAAACTGTGTCGACTGTGGAGCAGCAGGTAGGACTTAGGACAGACACTGAGAGTCGATGGGCTGAATATTAAAAATAGTTGCTATTGTTTGCAGCTTTTAGTTTACAAATTAATTTTAATATTTCGCGCCAGTAGGAAATTAGAAAAATAGCCTGTAATTATTTTGCGCAAGAGAAAACCGTGGATAAGTTTCTGAGCAGTTCTCAACACTTTTGAGAATGGTATATTCTGGAATGAATAAAAAAGCAAAAAATATAGTTTAAAAGAACATTTTAATTTCCATTTCAGGAAGTATAGTAAGTTTTATTAAAACGTGGTTTGTGCTTGTGTTTATACGAGGGGTCTATCAGTATGAATCATGACAGAATTGTACACATAACACTGTCACTTTATGGTTTATACAAATTCATTCCCACGTTTTGATGTTCATATTGATGTTCATCAATTGAGTGAATAACTTGGTTGTTGAACTCACTTAAATACGTTTTCCTACATAATATATGTACAACTTTCAACGTTTTTTTTGTTTGTTTGTTTTATTGTTTTTTCTTTTACAGACCCTGAATGGGCGTCCTATACTTTGGGAGTGTTTGTGTGTCACAGCTGCTCAGGTCTTCACAGAAACATCGCCCAGATTAGCAAGGTGAAGTCTATCTTTCTGGATCCCTGGAGTGTGGCAGAGTTGGAGGTAAAGGCCCTATTCACACCCTCGTGTAAAAAAAAACTTGACACACTATTGTCTTCCTCTTTGTGATGACCTGGTCCCATAGATGTTGACTCTCAAAACCGCCTCTGCTTTTTTTTATCTTGCATTTTGTAACTGTTTGATGTGTGATATACGTAGCTATAACTCATGTCACAGCCATTGACCCTTATGAAGATCTTACAAGTGGTACAGAAATAGTCAGAGGTGAAGAAAGTACTAAAAATGTAATTAAGTAAAGTATTTTTAATATCTTTTCTTTTACTCTTAAGTATCTTTACTTTGCTTAAAAAGTACAAGTAAAAGTACCCACCTAAAAATCTAGTTATGTAAAAGTAAATAATTACTTAATTTAAAATGTACTTTGAGTAAAACTTACTTGGTTACTTTAAATTATTATTATTAATTTATTACTTATTATACTTATATATTATACTATTATACGTATTTAATTATTATTATTAATGCAAAAAAGGATGGGCTTACATTTGTCATACATCCAATGGAATGTTTTTTCGGAAAATCTACTTAGAAATGACTGAGGTTGTGTTTTTCTCTCTTTCTCTGCAGTTTATGGACTCTGTCGGCAACAATGTTGCCAAAGCCAAATACGAACAAGTTGTTCCAGAGTTCTATTACCGTCCTACATACAGAGACTGCATGTAAGTGATGTTTATGTGTTGATAACATCGATGTACTTGACAAGCAACCATCCACAGGGATGTGCATTAGAAAAAGCCACAACAGAAGTGTTGCCTTTATGTCAGGACATTGACAAACAAAACCGATTTGTTTTGAATTTAAGATATTCCATGCTACGCTTACAGATTTAAATTCTTCATTTTTCTGTTTTTGCTATTTTGACTATCCTCTGCTAAATACTCTGATCTCATTTGGCACTTTAAACTGTTTTTTCATTAAACTTATTTGTGATTGACCTGAGGTCGGGTAAGTAATAACGAGAGTAATCATGGCTGTTTTGCTAACTATTGCTTACCATTAGAACAGTCTGTTCTGTGGTAATAAATAAATGAAATGTCTAATTGTCCATCACCACCTGTTCTACAGGCTCCTGCGAGAACAGTGGATTCGAGCCAAATATGAGAGAAAAGAGTTTTTGAGTGTTGACAGGCAAGAGGCTTACTCCGCAGGTAAGGATGAATAAACGTCGGTACCCATACAGCTAACAGAAAGGAAAAGCAGTTCCAGTTATGCTATAAACCAGAAACAAAGTGACTGCGACATGGAGTGGCACATGAGCAAAGGATTGTGGTGCAGTCTGTCCTAGGGGATGACACCTGTGTTTGTGTAGTTTCTTCTCTGTCAGTATGATGACATCATCAGACGAATCGTCGAATAGACTTCGATTTCATTGTCATATTAGTGGATGTGAAAAAGTAGGTAGCTGACCTAGTGCCTGTGGGTTGATTTTGCGTGATTTTAGAGAATTAATGTGATGTCTGGGAATTTTCATCCTTCTAAAATGGATACATCAGTGATCTGCTAGGAGGAGAGCTGCGCTGAAGAGACGGCAACAAGTAGTGAATGAGCATGTGAGAACTTGTGGGATTAGTAAAAGTAGTGGGTGTTAAAAGTTTGAGGTTTTTGCTCACACACACGGACCGAAACATGTACTAGTTTTTTATAGTTTTGCACGCTAATTAGTTGATACAGGAAACCCCCATCTTGACGTGCATTAGGTAATGTGTATTAGTTGAGGAGCACGTGTGTATTAGTATGAATGCAAGCGTGGAGCGAAACTAGTGTCGCTGCGCAGTGAATACGACAATAGACTGTGTGGTAGCGAAACTAGTGTCGCTGCGCAGTGAAAACGACAATAGACTGTGTGGTTGGTAAGTGTTTATTTTTCTCCTGCAGCTACAGGCTCCTCCCTCTGTCCTCTATTGAAAAACATAAATCTAAAAAAAAATCAAGTGCCAAGAAAAGTCCAAGGTACAACCTAACACATATGATGACGATGGTCAATTAGTACGGGTGTATGACCTGATAACTTCAAAAATCGAAAATAAAACTGTTGTCCCACTTTGTTCTTTTTTTGTTCTCACAAGAAGATCTTTCTTGTGATACTTATTTTCTTGAGATCATAATTCATAATTTTGTCCATGACCTGCATCGACTATGAAACACAAGGTTCACAGCCGACTCTGGTTACAACAGTTGTATAAGAAACAGGAAGCTGTCGGAAGAGTCTGTTTTGCAGTTCTACTGATAAATCGTGACGGTCACAACCACATTCTGCGAAGTCTCTTCGCTGTTTCTCATGGTATAATTTTACCAACAGGAAACAGGACGTTGTGTAAAATAAGGACAGAGCAGTCTTTTAGAAAGAGATAGTTGAGAACCTTTTGGGGCAAAAAAATTAAAAAAGATAAGAAAAGATAGAAAAACTTTATGGATGATTACACAACAAAACAGAGGACAGATTGTAACATGTAAATTTATGAATTATTTTCATGTTTGAAGATGTAATTTTAAACCTTTTAGTGACAATACAGTAAAAGTGTAATATAAGTGTAGGAATATAGAATATATGGTTATATATATTGTATGTGACTGAGGGAATGAACTCAAGGGTTTTCATTAATGAACAGTGAATATTTGACCTTTGCAGTGATGAATACATACAATTTTCATTTGTGTCAGCATATATTTAACAACATGATAATACAGTGACTGATTTTCCACCTTAATCTTTCGCCAATAATGAAGAAACACATTGCTCAAGTAGCTGACTACACTCACCGGCCCACAGTGCACTATTACTCAACACAAGCTTTGATGAACTGAGGCAAAGGAAGAGACAACGATGCTGTTTTAGAACCATGTTTAGGGGCTTTGTCATGGAGACAAGTATTTCACCTGCAATCAGCAGCTACAGGATTCACCTGTGCTGATTACATTGAGTTCACATGTGTTCTCCCTCAGCTGAGGGCAATCAGCCTGACTGGGAGGTGATAAAAGGAGACAGCGACTCACTGTTCTGTTGGGTTTTGGGGCATTGGGAGGGAAGGCAACAGTGGGAATTTTTTTTTTAAGATTTCTATTTTGGGGTGGGGTTGTTTAAAGTTTTTTGTGTGTAATTTCAAATTTATGTGTGTGTGCTGCTTGTGTAGTGACTCTTCTTCAGCCTTTTCTGTCTGATTCATCAGGGTTGGTACAAACCAGCTGACCACAGGGCCACATGTCAAAACAAATGACCATTGATGGTCACAGTTATACTTATGGTCCTCCTGACTAATCTGCTTGGTTTTCTGTGAAACCCCCCCCTCCCACACAGGGAAAACATGCAACACATTTGTGCTGCAAGGCAACAATGCTAATGACTCCTTCCAGCATGTGGCTGCAGAACTGAACTGTTTGCTATCTTAACATTGTTTTTTTATGTTTCACATTTAAAGTCATGAAAGTGCAACATGAGTACAACAGTCATACCCAGAAAGCAAGGGAAATATTTGTGTCAAAAGTGACAGAAAATTAATACTTTCTTCCTCAATCTCCTCTGAAGGTCAAAGTGTTGTCTCTCACTGAATGTGTGGAGAGAGATAACACTGGCTAAAGTGTGCTAGGCTCTGTGTGTGTGTGTGTGTGTGTTGGTGTTTGTTTCTGCTCCACACTTCAATTAAAATTGAATTATTTATGTGCAGTGACAGCAGAGCTTTCTTTCACCACCACAGATCTGTTTAAAACTGTGACCACAAAACTTTATGATGTTTACTGTCACACCAGACACTGTTCACAAACACCATTGATCTGTGTAAAGGAGTGTTCGGTGACCAGTCAACGTTGTGTGAGCATATAGAGATTAAGATTTCCATGGTAATAATGTTTCCATGGTGGATTTTTAAAATATAAAAACCACTAAAGTCACTGTTTGTTGTTGTAGATTATCCAGAAGTGTTTTACAGATGTATGTATCAATATCCCTGTGGTGTTTATGGTTCTTTGATAATCAGATCCAACAATACACGTGCAGTTAGCACTTATTTTGATCAACAGCTATAACCCTATTTACTGCAAGTAATTTTTTATTAATTATTAATTAATTAATTAGCAGCCAGAACAATTAAATACTCTTCCACAAGGTGGCAGCAGATAGTTATAAAACAGTGACGTGAAAAAAATAAAAAATATATAAAAAAAGTATTTGATAACTAAATGATTAAAGCACCAGAATTTAAAGTTTGAAAAATAACTGAATTTTATACTGAAGGTCAAAATTATATTTGTGCTACACTCATCTCTATACTTTAATTTGTTTACAGTAAATCTGAATTTCTTACACAAGAAGGGTGCTCTAGCCATTTGTACAAAGAAACGTTCTTTGTAGGACAAATATGTTCCTGTGTTATGTTTGTGTTGGTGTCAGTGTCATTGAAAGAGGAATGCTGATGTAATATGAAGCATTACCAGGTGATGCTGTTGAATGAATAGTGAAATAAGATGCTCTTTTCGGTTCTTACAATTAAAACTTTAAAAATAACTTCCAGTAAATCTGACTCCAGGGGAGTCAGTGCCTCACCAGCCCTGGACCTCACCGCATGTCACTGTTATAAGAACTAAAAAGTCTCATTGTTGTTGCTCTTGTTGTCTTTCTTCAATTCCTGCGAATATATCAAGGATGTGTTAAAAAAACACACCTAGGTTTTATAATGAATAGTATTTGTGAGTAATTTGAAACTAGAAGATATTTATATTTCATTACATATACTTTTTGAGACATGGGATTTTTCTAAAGTAAAATATGTGCTCTTGCTAAAAAGCGTTGGTAAACATCACTGTAGTGGTTTACACTTATCATTTGTGCACCGTAGGGTTATCGTATCTGTTGCGATCTCTATTAAGAATTCAGTGCTGCGTTAACTGATGGTCATTCCTGAAAATTGTCTTTGGAATTTTATGTTCTCTTTTTCCCAGATGGCAATTAGATATATTATCAAGTGAGAACCTAAAATTGTTTGTTGTTAGTTTCTGTGCATGTTGTGCCAGTGATGGACGTAGGACCTAGTTAACCCAAGATTTTAAAATATTTTTTCCCCTGGCAGGCTACAGGGAAGGGTTTCTGTGGAAACGAGGAAGAGACAATGGGCAGTACCTCAGCCGAAAATTTATTCTGTGTGAACGGGAGGGTGTTCTGAAATATTTCAACAAGCAGGACGTGAGTGCTTGCTCTTCTTGTTGACCTAAAATGAACAGACCGATGTCTGTGTTTGTTAATCTCTCCCTCACATTAGTTTTTTTTTTTCAAGGATGTAAGAAAATGTCTTTTGACCAGGACTGTCATTCCCCTAAACTGAATTCTTTGCAGGCCAGAGAGCCCAAAGCCATAATGAAGATCATCACTCTAAATGCCGCTTTCCAGCCGACAAAGATCGGCACGGCCAATGGTCTGCAAATAACCTATCTGAAGGACAATAGCACGAGAAATATCTTTGTTTACCACGAGGATGGGAAGGTGAGGGCTGGTGGTCGAGCGGAAAAGGGAAGCTTTACTGTTTATTTGATTTTTTTTTTTCTTGTCACACTGCCACAAAAAAGACCTAGAAAACCTTGTGTCCTGATTTCTGATGCAGGTGATGGTGGACTGGTTCAATGCCATCAGAGCAGTGAGGTTTAGATACCTGCAGCTGGCTTTTCCTGGAACCCCCAAGTCTGACGTGAGTCTTTAGCGCAGTAGTCCCATACTGATGCTAAACCTCTGAATTGATATAACTAAAAACAATTTAAAGCATTTGTTTACTCATCATATTTCATTTAGTTGGTAAAAAACCTAACGAGGAACTTTATCAAGGAGGGTTACATGGAGAAAACCGGTCCTAAGGTAAAGACAGTTCTCTGTAAAACTGATCTGTTTTTGACGCGGACATGTTGCGATGTTTGAAACGGCAGCGACTCAATTACTGCACCTCTGTGTGCCTTTGTCTCTGTGCCACAGAAAACGGAGGGCTTCAAGAGGAGGTGGTTCACGTTTGATGACAGGAGGCTCATGTACTTCAAAGATCCTCTGGTATTTGAAATGGCAGTTGGAAAAAATACTCACACAGTCACACAAAACAACCAGTAGGATGCAGTTGTCCCGTTTCTCTCTTTATATGCAGTTAGAAAAAAAGTTGAACACAAACCTAACATTTAGGGCCAACACACGACCAAAACACAACTTTTTGTTTGTGTCTTCCTTTCTGTTAGGACGCTTACGCACGGGGTGAGGTGTTCATTGGCAGTAGAGAAAACGGCTACTCTGTGCTTCCTGGTCTCCCTCCTAACATTCAAGGCTACTACTGGTCATTTGGAATAACGATAGTGACACCAGACAGGAAGTTCCTTTTAACGTGTGAGAATAAAGACCAGCAGAAGGACTGGATGTCGGCTTTTCAGATGGTCATTGAACGGCCCATGCTGCCACAGGAGTTCGCCGGTAAAATTTAACAGCAGAGTTTCTGAGTTAGTAACTTTTTAATTGATCATGTTGAACATTTGCAGCATACAGTAATGCATCGTCACCTCTCTGCAGTGGAGGCTTGTTTCAAACACAAACCATTTTGATGATGAGGAAATATCAGGGGAAAGAGGAGGAAGACGAGGAGCTGCGAGATGAAGAGGATGCTCTTGATGTCACATCTCAGTGCTATTAAAATGATAAAATGTCACAGAAGGTCAATAAACAGGACTTTAAACTCAATCGGCGTTCTTCTGAAATGACTCCGTTTCCTGCTCAACTTTCTTTATCTGATGACAAGATGAACAGATATGTTTACGCTTCTGAATCTGTGCTTTATTCACGACTTATTTGGTTTAACTTCCCACACTTGAAAGACAGCAATCAAATAAACCTGAGAACCCACATGTACTGTATGTATATTCTTGTCAAAAGAGTGTTGCAAGAGTAAATGATATAGACTTTCACACTGCTGTGGTTATGACGCGTATGTTGCTAAAGAACTTGATTTTTCCATTTGACTGGACACATCTTTTCTCTGCAGAAGCCTGACGATTGTGCACAGTACTGAGTAAAGAAAGATTCATTCTAGTGAAAGGTGCAGATGAAAAAAACCCAAACCTGATTGTTTGAAGATAGAAAGTGCCTTGTGTATTTAATGAATAATTATGGCAACATGCAGTTTGACCATACAGCCTTGTAGAAATGTGTCCTCCAAAAACACCGCAGGTGTAAATTCCTTAAACAAAAGATCAGTCTCAGTGTGTGGTGTTTTTGTACAAATATCTAAGTACAGGGAGCAAAGCTCTGAAAAGTCCAGTACAAACAATTACTTTAAAAGTACAAACCAATTCACCTCCTGTTTTTACTGTCGTTACCTTTTATTCACAAAGTACACATTATTACAGTACATAGTTGTTACACCATTTAATTAGCAAACATCACGCTGAGGCTGTACAGTGAGTAATGTCTCAATGTTCAGGTTTTAGTATGGTCCATGGAATCTACCAGAACACTACATAACATGATGGAGATGATGTTGAGATGAGGATTGAAATGGTACTCACATAAAAAAAAAACATCAAATCATTTTTTTAAAAGGCTGTATCATAATGACTGTTAAGCAAAGTAGAAATATACATCCAGACTACTGTAGTGTTTGTACTGATGAAACCAGCATTGTGAAAGAAATGTCACGTACAGTCGTTTGTGATATTGCCTTTATTTGTCCAGGACTCAATCGACCCGTGACAGAACTACTTCTCTGTAATCTATTATCATGCAAGGAAAAATATCAAGTACTTTAAATATGACGGCTGTTGTACTTTCAGTAACTCATGCTCTTGTCATGTTTTACTATTTTTGTGCTTAACATAACTTCAAAAGTCTAATCCAGTGGTTCCCAAAGTGGGGGGCGGGGCCCTTGATGGGGGCATGGAGCTACTGTAATGCAGTGGGTGGCAAATTTCAGTTTAAATTTTGTCCCATAGTTGGTAAATCAAACCATTTTTTTTGTTGTTTTTTTGTTTTGTTTTTGTAAATGTTAAAGCATTTGAAATACAATGGAGAACACTGACGTTCTGAAGCAGTAGCTGTGAAAGGGTCAATGTGGGGGTCCAGGCCTATCATCTGCAGAAACATTTTGAGAACCACTGTCTAATAAAGTTTTACATCAGTATCTGTATGTACAACACTCAACAAAAATAGTACTGTTAGTACACCATACTGAAGTACATACAGTACTGTAGTTTTTGTGGTAATGCTTATTGACTTTATGCTGGTGAGCTCAAGTGGCTCCACGGAGCCATGATCACAGACAGACACTGAACAACAGACAGAGGACAAATCACTGCACAAGTCAAGTACTATATCATCATACAGTACTGTACAGTACTCACTCTATATGATGAAAACACAAGCATTTGAATTCCACTGATATTTCCAGGTGTGAATACAAAATCAGTGGGTTTTAAAATACAATTTTTTTAGTCTCTCTGAAACGTCCTTCAATTGTAATCACACACACACACACAAAAGAGTTATTCGTTGTGCGTCACATTCAATGTCTGAGCTAAAAAGAAAATAGAATTCAAAGGAGAGAAGGAAAAAAACAAAAGACAGAGTGTGGTGACAAAAATCTTTATACCTCGCTGGATCTGACTCATCATCACTGACAGGTCAGATACACACACACACACCGGGTATGGAAATGAGTCACACGCGCACACACAGGTTTTGAGGCATTGTGTGGACTTCACGTAGACATAATTTATTCCCTAACCTCTTACCCTAACCTTAACTATTACAAATATATGACTAATCTTATTCCTTCTCTAACCCCACCCTAACTCTACGAAACTAAACCTTAGGCCTCAAAATACCCTCTTACCTAAAAAAAGGTCCCCACAACAGAGCATCTTACAAACAAAATGTCCCCACAAGGATAGCTACACCACACACACACACACACCGAGCCACACAGACATCCAGGGAGGGAATGCAGAGAGTTCATGACCTGCAGCAGCCACTGCTCCTCATCTCCTTGTTGACGTACTCCTGCAGTTTGAACTTCTCACTGGGGTCCTTCACAGACCTGTGCTTCAGCTCCCTGAGACACAGAAACAGGGGACAGTGAGGACAAAATCCTGTCCTGTTCTTTCCCCTCAATCAAAGACCCTTTTGATACATTTGTAACACGGTCGACCACAGTCTCTTGTGGACAAATGATTCTGAAGTATTTCCATCAACATAGGTAGAAGACGCCATAGCCAAAAAAAAAACATGAAGTACCTTGTGGTAAAAGCTCCTGTAAGAGTGTGTGAAGTGAAACACATACTTTCAGTTTTCATGCCTAATATTAACAACCATTAGGATTTTACCCATCATCATTTTTATTTTTTATAATTAAAAAAATACATATTGTTATTGTAATGTTATTTGATTTTACCCTTGCTCTTTGTAACATACTCCCCATTGCCACTAGATGTCGCACCACAGGCATTTCATATCACAAACAAAAGTGTTGCCAGTACAGTGTGGGTGTGTGGAGCAGCAATAAAAATCAACAGCTCAACCAAAAAATGTCGAACATGTAAATGTCTGTAAAAACAGAAACTCCATCAGTTTAATGGCAGTTATAAAATAAATAACATCAATCGTTTGTTGTGTGTTGGTTGATGATAATGTTGAGGCTCAGTGAACAACTGTAGCTGAAATGTTTTTGATTTTAAGCTAATGACCAGGCAGGAGACGTGAGTGTGTTTCAGTGCGTTGACTGGAATTCTAGTGCAGAAAATTAAAGCAATTACTGTGTGCAGCCAAGAGTCGGACTGTTGATGTGAAGTGGAGGGACTTAATCCACCGCACAGTGAAAACAAATCTACAGTCTCTCAAAAAAGAAGGTCAAACGGTGTCGACCTAATGTCCACTACATTTCTAAAGTTATCTTTTAACTAAGGTGGTGTGATAAACACAAACTAGTGGTGATGGAAATCTGACAACAAGAGGGTCGCAGGAGATTTTTTTTGGGGTCGTCTCACATCATGTTTCCCAGAGGTTTACGAAAAATGTCTATTGACCAGAAAAAACGTCAATAAGGAGTTTTCAAAAATAGGGGGCGACACTCACTACTTTATGAAAACCCTTAAATCTACCCCTAACCCCTGGAGACAGGACAGTACTCACTTTGCCACAGCAGTGAAGGCCAGCTCCACATTCAGACCTGTCCTGGCGCTGGTCTCCATGAATGGAACTCCAAACTCCTGCAAGTCAATGAAAAAATGTGTTTACACAAACAAGTGTCAAAGTAAAAAGAA